CGGTCAGGTGAGTCTGAATTGCTGCGATGCCAGGAGGAAGGAAGACCTATCTTGACGTATTAAATTAAATGATGTGAAGGAAGTGATTGTGTTCCAGTTTTAGGTAACATGACTTGCTGGAAAACCAAACAAAGCTATGGGCAACCACATGTAAAATAATCCAGGTTCTTAATTATATTAGTGTACATACTATGATATTTATAACTTATACAGCAGTGGTCACTTTTAAATTAATCACTCTTATGTTATCTTCGCTATGAATGAAACTTAGGTGTTTTTAATGATACATTTGTTCTTCTGTTTGACGATTCTGTTATTTTTGTAACTTAATATCACTGGTTTACATCCAGTATTTATTAATATTTACAACACACATAATAGAACAGTCGTGAGTGTGGAAGAGTAGAGTAAAATATAAGAAGTCATGCTGATGTCCAAAAATAATCATTAAACCTGGGAAAACATAATTAAATTTGTCAGATGAACTTGACTACAAACAAAATGTTCTTAATGCAAGCTGCTACTAAGCAAATGATAACAAATGTGGAAACGTGTAGATTTTTCATCAGGATAAACTGGGTAGAAACATTCAGTAAAATCCCTGGTACACTCCTGCACTGGTAGATATGTAAGAGATTTTGGCAGGGGGTGACCAAGTGTTGCCACGATAATATTGCTTTTTGTGAATGCCACATAATTGCAATAATTGTCTCCATGGTGCGCTCTTTCAGGGAGAACCTGTGTTTAGGAATCTCACCAGTGACTGCCAATACCAGTTCCTTTGGAAGACAAGTGTAACTTGTCCACCATTTACAAAATTCATGTCTGTCAGTGAGGGGCAGTGCATACTGAACAATGAACAGATGAATGCAAGAATGGACCTCAAGAAACTTGGACAACATGGTGTGATGCAGGTACCAAGAGAAAAATGATATTTACATAGATATAAAATTACATTATTAAAGTCACACCTTTAGAATTAGTTGAGTTAAATAATTGATAGGTATATGTGAGTCTCAAATTTTTTATATTGGATAGAAAAAGAAAAATTATTTGGTTGAACATTAATTTTTCAGTCTTGAACTTTGAGAATTTTCAGATAACTGTTTTTGCTTTGTCAGGTAGAACAAACAGTACCTGATCCATCACTCATAATTATTGGCAACTCTGGCATGAACCAGCATATGGACAAAGTTTGTCTGTCTGCCTCTTGTATTTCTGTAGACAACGTCAAACGTCACTATTCATGTCTGGGGCCAAGAACCGCTTCACTTTGGCAAGCATATCGAGGGTGTTGTCAGTCCGTGGTAGCAGGAAGCATTCCTTAGTCACATCATTAAGCTTCCTGTAATCCATGCAGAAACAGAGGTCTCTGTTCTGGACAACCATGATGGGTGAAGTCCCAAGTATTCTCATATTCCTCGATTACTCCTTGATCTGGTTGGGGGGTTGGAACACAGCAGAAAAGAATGTCATTTTGTTGACCCATGCTTGAGAGCAGTAGTCATTAAGACTGAGCATAGGATGTAGGTCCATGTTTGTTACACATCAATCAGTGCCTTGACATCAACTAGGGTCGGAGGCGACAGGGTTAATGATTCAAGCTCTTTCATTAGGGAGCATGTTTTGCATTTCCTTTTCATTACTATTCAGTGTGAAGAGTCGACAGGGTTCGCCAATCAAAACTAATGGAACAACTATTTGAATTCAGTGTTTTACTGTGGAATAATTTGTACTTAGTTGAAAGTCCAAATCAGTAACCTGAAGCCAGTTACTGATGTTGCTCCAGTTACAGAATAAGTCGCTTGAACCACTCTTGCTCTCACTGGCATCAGTATTACATATTTTTTAATCACTGTTTCTGGAACTAACACCTTCGTAACTAATATGTAAGATTGACACTATTTCATCATCATTCACTCTCCTTGCCATGCTTAGTAAATACACAAAGAAATAGAAAAAAAAACAACTAAGCACATTGACTATGTGCACACAGTAAACGTGTTCCTGCACTTTTGTAATACATGAATCCAGCCATCTGTTTCACTCTGTTTAGAGAAGGGATATGGGGTAGATTGAATCGCCCACGATTCAGCGTACTGGTGCATTTTGGTGTTGTTCTGTTGGGTTTCGTTAGCAGAGAGTTATCTTCAGAATTGGAGGCATAATCATGCATTATTATTATTATTATTATTATTAGTGTTCTGTCTGACGACAGGTCCATATGAACAGGATCCTTCCATCCTTTTCTCGGACTGGGACCTGTTCATATACGTTCTTGGCAGATGATCCAGAAGTGGTTTGCCATTGCCTTCTTCTGTGTGTGAATGGAGTAATTGTTGGGATGCCACGGAGGAAAACTCCGTGTTGCCTAGACCACGGCCTTGCCCAACACAAGTTATAAATTCGGGCACCGCCGGGAATCGAATCATGCATATCAAAATATATTTACATGGGCTTAGTATTTACCAGCTCTCATACTGGTTGCAGGTTCAGGATTACTCCATGAACCTGTGCAGTTTAAGGACCATCACGCACATCACCAATAACAAATCGTATGGTACATTAACCAGTGTGGAGTTTGACTATCAGCAGAAACAAGTGCGCCTGCTGTTCAGCATGGGAGCCAACTGCACTGTCACAGGTATGTAATTGTTCTCCCCAAAGGAGGGATGTTTGTTGGTTTTAAGTTAAACATAACAATGTGAAAAACGAAGAAATGATAAGAAAATTAAAAATTAGTAATTGAATTAAGAGTTTATAACATACACCTGATGACGGCTCTATGAAAGCCGAAACATGTCGAGAATGTTCCATATGTAAATCGAGTACTCGATACGGAACAAAAGATAATATTTTAACCATCTAATTATCTTATATTACTGTATTGTGATTGACGGACAATTTTAATATATTTTAATACTATTTTAAATAAAATCACAATATGATGCACCTACAATATCTTATAAACATAACATGTGTATAGCAATGCCTCATTTTGCTGCTGCATGATTTGTACTTCAAACAGTGATCAGTGTGACCAACATAAATATGATGTAATAGTCTATCACTGGACTTAAACGCCTGTTCTGTACATATCGCCAGAAATTTACGATTAATTTTAATTTTTTATTCTGCCTGTATATCGTGAAAGTGGTGCTTACCAAAAGGTTCCCCACTAAATTGTTTTATGCATTTCTTGTTTTATCACATGCACTCCATGTATCCAACCCATCATAAACTATGTTAATTAATTCACACATTATTAGGCTTAGAATGTAAACACAAAGTTCCTTGATACATAGTACAAGAAACTCTCGGTTTATGAACGAGTTCCGTTCCAAGATGTTTGTTATTCATTTTTGTTTGTTATGGCTTAGAATGTAAACACATACATAGTACAAGAAACTCTCAGTTTATGAACGAGTTCCGTTCCAAGACGTTTGTTATTCGTTTTTGTTCGTTATGCATTTGAAAGCATTAAAACCATGTACTAAATATCTTTGTTCGTTATGCATATCTTACATTCCTGAGCTTTTACGACACGTATCGTATATGTTAGCAGCCATTTGAAAGCGTTAAAACCACGTACTAAATATTGAATGGTCCATACAATGTTTTATTATAATGTATGTATGCGTTATGGTTTATCGTATACAATATGTAACGTACGCCACGTGGCGTGGCATGTAAACCAACGTTTTTTTTACTGGCTAGATTAGTTTTATTAACCATTTAAGAAATTTTGAATGAATTGTGACGTTCGTTATAGCAATGTTCGTAAACCGAGAGTTGCCTGTATTCTGTTTTCCATACTTTACTCATCCTTATTTTTTCTTATGCTTCTATCGTTTCTTCCGACAGGGTGAGGTCTTACAACAGGTAGAATAACTCTTTGTTTATGTCATTATTTTGGAAATATATTATTAAAAAACATTTTTCTTTATATTTATTTTTATGTTATTTTCATAAATAATCATACTTGAATGCCCTGGAACTCATATGTATGTCCTGCATCACTCATGGGTGTCATTTGTTTGTGGTCCACAGAGAGGTACAAGTCACAGTTATTGTTGAATTGCGATGAAGATGCAGGCTCCCGTGAACCAAGGGTGCTGATGGTGAGTACACAGATCTGCAGATTGACATTGCTAGCTGGACGAAAATGAAGCCTTGACATTCACGATGTTGTATTATATAGATAGGCTTTTCTGTAAGAGGCTGGGTCTAGCCATGGATCTCTGGGTTCAATCCTAGGGCATAATATGGAACTACTTCATTACTTCCAGAGCTGGATTCATCAGACCGGCATTGTTTGATAATAGAGCCCACAACAGTCTCCCATGAGGCACATTCAGTCTCGGTACTCGTGTGTGTGAACTGATTATCTTGAATTTAATGGAGCATTCTCATAGGGGTGAATATGTTAGTGTTGATCTTTTGGTTAGTGGTGCCATGTGGACTCCAGCATTGGCATCTAGCTACAAGTCCACACAGTATTACTAACCAGAGGGCAACTAGAAACCGGTTATGCTTACATGCGATCCAGCTGGCCATGTCACACCAGCTTACCACTAAACTGTAGCCTGTAGCCATTCTATAGTTTGCGACTGTAATCTTGAGACTTGTGGGGTGAGGAAGTGGAGTGAAGGAGGGAGGAGGAAAGATAGCGTCAGCCTTTAACGCTTCAGACTTCCTGCATTCCTTGCAAGTCTCAAGATTACAGTCATGTATTGTACATGGTTTAAATCCACTGTTATCATATGA